TCAGATAACTTAGGGGTCGTTGGAAGACTGCGCAACCGTCAGCAAGTTAGCGGGCACCCACGCCCTCGGGATATCCCTTCAAAGCATACGCATCTGAATCGCGAGAATACAGTGCTTTACTCAGCCAACGAGATGGCTAGCCAGCAAAGACTGGGCAGCAATCATGCGGCAGATTTGACTGCCTCTACCCGATCCTCCCTTGGGTTGGTCGCAAACTCAAAGCACCATTCTCCAAGTCAACCGACAGAGCAAAGTCAAGGCGAAGAATCTATTAGAATTGCCATGGCCAAGACAGGGATTTTCAAGAATACGGGCATTGAATTCGACCCTAATGCTTCAGATGGCGTGGAAACCCTTGCATCATTGCCTGCCCGCACGCATGGTCCCGTCAGGAGCATTGACTCTCTACGGAAGGCGCACTTGGGGCCCTTGATTGTGCGGTATCGAGACCAAGGCACAATGGTAGCTGAACAGGTAAACGATGAGCGAGACTGGCAAAGCATTAATCCGATGCCAGGGGGAAACAAGACTATCATGGCCCCAACAAGATGTGAAGCACCAAACTTACCCAACAACAGGACATGTCCACGAGATTCTCCAACTCAGCGTATTACGCCAGGCAAAAATTCCGTGTTTCATACTGAGACAGTCAAAAATGCTGGAGAGGATGACCAAACAATCCCAAACGCTCAAAGAATACCAGAGCGACCGGGGAGACCTGATGCCCCAGAGCCTTGCCTGGTCAATCGTCATGAGGCCATGGCGAGAATGCCACCGCCTCCACGACCGCCTGTTGACCATCCGCAAGGTGATTGTTGGGAAAGCGATCTTTTAAGTGGTTGGGAGAACGCCAGTGGGACATACATTCGTCACGGAGCTGGAATAGGCGATGCGAATCATATGTCCATGCCGTCCGTTGAGGCCTCGCTGATAGCCTCTCTGGCTCCAGCATTGAGGGATCAGGCTGGCATGATTGTGCCAATGAATGCTAGCCTGTCTGCTGGTTTCGAGAGATCCACAACCTACGAGTCCGCACAAGTAATCTCTGCTGTTGACTCAGATACCTGGCCAACACCTACAGCCATCCGCAACAGCAATCCGTCCTTTTATCCTCGAATTGCTGGGAACGCTACGGAAGCCCCTCTCTTTGACTCACAAGGCCAAAATTATTTTTCTTCTCTACATGAGCCTCCTATAAGTAGTGAAAAGCCACATCTCAGTCAAGGCTATGACGCGCAGAGCTCTATGCGGGATTACATCACGAAGATTGAAGAAGAGGTTCTTCTTCGGGCAGGTTCTAAAAGCCCAGATGATGCCACCAACGCGAGTCTCCTGGCAGGATGCCCGGAACACTCGGTAAATAGGATGAGTAGGGACATGAATGCTCTGTCCGAAAGCCATCAACGCTCAAGATCATCTTCTAGGTTGAACTGTCGTGAGCAAGGGCAGCCTTTTGAGAATACCCAATTTGTCATGGAAGAGGGATTTGCATTCTCGACAGGTTATCGCCAACTCATGCCAGATTGGAGGCAACCTACACCCGTCGCTGACAATATGGATAATGATGAACAGGTAGATATGATACAGTTCTGGCGGCCAAGTCAATTTTAATAGTATCGTAATCTATTGAACGATGGGCGCGGTTCAACAAGCTAGACTTGGATTTGACGTGCGTCGTGATTGCCAATGACCTATAAATATGAACCCACACCTACTGGAACAAACATGGACGAGCGGCATACAGTACCAGGAAAGACAAGCAACACTATCAAGGACTTGCACATTTGTGGACGATAATGCGATATGTATGTAACATTGGCTACCTGAAGTAAAGTGATATGAATGTAGGCAAATTTTCGGATTACAGTAACTCCCAGCCCATTGAAGCTATGCAGTACAAAGGTAGCCAAATTGTATGTTTTTGGATCCAAGTCCAATGCAATCCAACTTTTTTATAGCAATCATGCTCGCCGTTATCCCGTGTAAGCAGTTTCAACACCATGTCTAAAGCGTTGTCATTACTTCATGCAATCGTCTCGACCATTTCGCCAAATATGATCGGGTATCAAGCGCTAGTTTTATTTCGAAAGGCGTCACTGGTGTTTGTAGCCCGCATTCACCGCGCTTTAAACCCATGCTATAATAGAAAGACATTTGTATTCCTTGTATCACGAAACGAAGGTCATCTTAGAAAGCCTGGCCCTGGTAGGGATGAATGCCTCGTCCCTGAGGTGCCCCTCCCGTTGGTGTACCAGGTGTTCCAGGTCTTTGTCCCGGGGAGTACTGACCCTGTGGAGGAGGGAAAAATCCCTGTTGAGGGCTAGGGTATTGGGCTGGTGACTGAGGACGTCCTTGTTGGGGTGGGCCGGGCCGGCTGAAGCCACCTGGGGAATAGACCTGGGGAGCGGGACCAGGGAAGCCTTGCGGTGAGCCATAACTGGAATTCTGAATCATCATCGGTCTTGGTTGAGGAGGGCCCTGTCCAGGTGGCCCTTGATAACCACCTCGACCCATTGGCATATTCCCAAGCCCCATACTACTACCACCGTACATTGATGGTGCAGGCTGACCCATTGCCATACCCATATTGCTCACATTGCCCATGCTGGCATTTTGAGGACCAGGATACATCTGTTGCTGCGAAAATTGCTGTTGTCGGTGGAAATCTTGAGCTTGTTGGTGCTGCTGGCGCTGATTGATGGCATGCTGAACCGCTTGCGAGCTGATACCTTGCTTCATCTGAGCCCTCTCTCTTTCACGAGCCTCAATGGCGCCCACAAGGCCACCACCCTGCTGCTGTCGAGTATTCCCGGCAACGTTGATAAGTGGTGAGCCTGTCGCCCTTGCCAGGTGTTCCTGCTCCCTTGCCGAGAGGTGGGAGCTGATCTCACCAGAACCACTCACGCCCAGGACATTGGTCGAGCCCTGTGAGCTTGGCCGCTGAAGAAGATCGGCACTGCCAGACCTAGAGTGACCACCCATGCCACTCAGATAATCATGACTCCCAGTACGCTTGAGTGGGGGCGTCGGTGTATTCCCGCGCATCTGAGCCAAGGTATTTCCAGACGGAGTGCGCTGATGAGCGTACATCGGTGTGGCCGCAGCGGCAGCGCGCTGCTGAACAAACTGTTCAGGAGACAGAGCTCCATCACGACCCCCTCCGATCGCCATTCCTGGTTGCCAAGCTACATTTCGGCGAATAGTATCATCTGACTCCTGACGACTATGCCCATACTCAACTTGGCTGGGGTTTGTCACGCCAGGTGATTTTCTTGGGCCACTAGGAGAGTACGGTCGCTGAGGCTGCATTCCAGGAGCGGCCGGAGGGCTCAAAGGCGTAGGTGTTTTATTACGCGGAACATTGGATGCACCATAATTGATGGTGGGCCCAAAATTGATATCAGGAATATCAAATCCCCGCCCCTGAGCTGCTCGAGGATCTCCCTGACCGCTATCTCCTACAGTTCTCAAGACGCCGGCGCGTGGCCTCTCCACAGACTCTTGAGTATCTGTGGATTTCCGAGTGCTGGCGTAATCCGGGCTAGTGGTTGACGACGCATCATCATAGTGACTACTAGCTTCACTACGCATGGTATCCTGCCGCTGAATTTGTGCGCGCTCGGGTAGAGGCGTTCTCTGTCTATTCATATCTTGTGGGTGTACTTGAGAAAAGGCGGCATCATCCATAACGTGATTCTGGAAGCTGCTTGCACTGGAGTCCGATTGGGGGGTCATATTCCCTGGTTGACGTTGTAGGCTGGCATTTCGCTGGGGAAGGTTGCCATCACCGCCACGAAGGCTGTCACCACGTTGGGGTAGCGGCTTTCTGTTAATTGGCGGAGAAGTATTGAGTACTGGCAAGGGGCTTCTGGGTGGAGGAGTTCTGCGTCCCGACGATGGCGGGGGCCCTGGTGGGTATTGGTACTGATTTTGTGGTGCGTTTGGTGGCGGCGGCCCTCGATACGGAGCATTTCTCGGGTCAGGAGGTGGCATTCCACGGCCCCGGCCATAAGCACCTGGGGGTGGTGGTCCCCTTTGGCCTGGAGGGCCCATAGGACTAGGCGGTGGCCCCATGGAACCAGGAGGAGGCGGCCCTCGATATCCGGGGGGAGGCGGCCCTCGTGCTCCCGGCGGGCCTGGAGGAAGAGGGCCACGGGGAGGGCCTCCGGGAGGCCCAAATGATTGATTCAGCGGGGATCTGGATCGCTTCGATTCGAGGCCCATGTGTGGTGGCGGAAGTCCAGGCGACCCGGGCGCGAGATTGTTCGGAGAGTTCAAAGCTTCACGAGATCCGTTTGCATTAGCATTCATTCCCACGGGGTTGGCGTAGGTATGTACCGAAGGACCTGGACCTCGTGGGTCTGGTTGGCCGTAAGGCGACCCTGCGCTATCTTCGCCGCTATGGCGTACCTGGGCGTCCTCCGGGTGAAATTCAGCTCCCACACCTCCGGCCTTTGCCAGCTGAGCAAGTGTAGTGCTCGACAGTCGACTATTTGCCCTTCGAAGTTCGGGGGAATGGTATGGCTTGCCTGCTGGCCTAGAGGACGGGCCATGGGCGAAAGCTGGAGGTGCGGATACAGGCTCTGGTGTCTGCATATTTCGCATGTTATCGAAGTCCCTTATAGGAGGGGTGTTTCCAGGTCTCTCGTCTTCTGAGCTCAGCCGCTCGGGTGTTGAGGCAAGGTCGTTCATGTATCCTCGAACAGGTGTAGGTCCTCTCAGAGGCGAAGGCGTATGCCTGTCGTCGAACATGTGTGGTGCCTGCAGAGCAGCTGCAGCGCCAGCTGCAATTTGAGTATCGGAAACATTGCGTTGGTGTCCCGTCACGTTGGCCATGGCTGAAGGTGCCCGAGCTCTATCAGCTGCTGGCGGTGCAGAATCAGTGCGAGGCGCAGGACCTCCTGAAAGCGATAGAGATCGAGATGACCGTACTGAGGGAGCATCATCCGCAAAATTTACCCTCGGCCTACCTGAGGCGTTCGCGGCACCCGGTCCGATACTTAGTCGAGCGCTTCTGCGGCTAACACTTCGATCTGTCTTGCCACCTTCTTCCATGGCAGACATGCGTTGTCCAGTAAGCTCTTTGAGCCGTTTTCTCCAGTCTCTCTCTGACCATGAATTGCTCCCGTCGGTAAGTATAAGACCGGTGACGTCTAGTATTTCAAGATAACCGTATCTCTTGTGTTTTGGCATGGCAAACATCAAAGATCTTGGGTCTAGCACACTCGCTACCAATCGTCCAGGCCGGCCATACAGGCCGAATGTGTCCCAAGTAGGAAACAAGAAGCGGAGCATCATCTCAAACCCGCTCACAGCGGGATGGACCTCGGGCATGATGAATACGAATCCTTCAGTGGAGGATGGAGGTTCGGAGTGAATGGTAATGTTTCCCTCGACTTTGATCAAAGTTGAGGCATCAATGAGGGACTTGGCCTGAGGGTAGATGGCGTAGGACGAATAAGCGTCCGTAATAGATGCAATAGGCTTTGCCTTCTTTTGCTTCTTTCCATCCTTCTTTGTGTCGTAGAATTTGATATCTCCCTTCAATAATGGCGGGTGGGATCTGTCATATGGCGACTTCTTCCTCATCTCCTTTTGCAGCTTCTGATACTCCTTCTCGTCTGGCGGCGTGATGACACACCAGCACCTTCGCCATGGGACACCAGCTCCGAACCGGACTCGCACCCATTCTTCCGTCTTGAACCGTGCCCGCTCCATGATTACGTTTATGTTGTTCAACGTCTTTCCTTTTCCAGCGATCAAGGCACCTGTATATGCCTCTTGGAGGGTTGAATGCTCAAACATTGCCAGGCGGATTCCAGCAGTCCACTGTATTAGTGAGTGATGCGAATTGAAGTGGAGAAGGTAGCGGTTTCGTCCTGCTGTAGATATACTCAGAATGTTCTGCAACGGCTGCTCGTCATTCGACTTGGTGGGTAGTGACTCAATCTGTTCCGTTGTCAGCTAAATGGCTCCATGCAGAATGCACAGATAGGCAGCAATACCATCTTGATAGATGCATCTGTGAGGTTAATAAATTTTGGAAGGACCTCGCCATCTTCGCCAGCGGCATCCAGTTCCGCCGCATCCCAGAGGGATAAGACGGTGCCGACAAGTTGAGCGAAGCATTCCGTCCATGTTCGATCGGGGTTGGGCTTGCCCTCTGTGTCTTGGTCAGGTCATGTGCTTCTGCACCTCGCGGAAGGCCAGACATACGGGTGTTCTGGTCATCTAATTTCAAGAAATAACCCTCCTGGTATAGCTTGTTTGCATGACTGTTAAGAAAAGTGAAGATGGGCTGAAGCTCGGGTATTGTGTCTTCGTTGACGTCCATGAGGGGCGGTTGGAAGGTTTGCACCATGGACAAGGGTCGTGAAGTGCTTCTGTCTCTCCCGATGGGACTGTCGGGAGTCGGTGAGCCGTTTACGGGCGAAGACGCATAGCCTGGGCGAACTGGTGATGATGGAATTGGGCTTCCAGGAGTCGGTTCGTGGGCGTAGGAATGAAATGCAGCCTGTGGCGGAGAAGGGTTAAAGTTGGGATCCGGTTTGGAGTACGGATTATGAGTCTCGTTGGGAGGGGATGATGTAGGTGTCGAGCCAGTAGAGTCCCTGTGGCCAGAAAACTGGGACATAAACGAGAGCACTGCAATTATGGAAATGATGGGGTCAGCATAACGATCATTATTAGGTAGGCCGTCATTTAATTAGTCGCTGTGCTGTTCCCCTGGAGGGCCTGACGGCGAGTATGAGTGGCCCTCTGGCTTTCTGGGCACGGCGCAAGGAATTTGATGGAAATGCTGGGGGGGTAAACTCGAGGGCAGGCATTGGGACCTACCGCGATTCCGACCCATTTTTACGCTCTATTGCGCGTCCTTTCTCTGTACTGTGTCTTCTTTGGGCAGTCTTGGCCGCGTCACAGAAAGCTGGCGCGAGGCCAAGACCCTGGGCTGACAACAAAAGCGTCCCGGGAGGAGCGATGGAATGAATGGTCGGGGAGAGCAAAGAAGAAAAAAATAAAATTAAAAAATAGATGTCAGAACAAAGAGCGACAAATGCCGAGCTAGGAACCCAAAGCAGACGTCCCGGGCTCGCAGAGAAATTTGTTTGCGAGGCGGCGGCTTAGAAAGACACGGAGAGCCGTGGGACCGGTGGCAGTGGGCGGCCTCGTGGTTTTGAATGTTCCAGAGTCTGCGGCAAGGTTAAATATTATGTCAGGAAGGGAAGTTTGCTCTTATTGTGGCTCCATTGGCAGAGATACAATCCCTTCGTGTCGTTCAGGCGCGTGGGCGGCGGATATGTCGGACGAGGCGGTTCTTGTTCGCTTTCAAGGATCTCAGACACCCTGGGCGATTCCTGGACCCTGCTCTGCTGGGCTTCCCGGTGCGTACGTGCGTGCGTGCGTGAGTCCGCTCGCTCGTGGCTTGCTTGTCTCTCAACTGTCAGTCGGGTGCGTCCACTACGTATGGCGGGCCGGAGATCGCTTTTTCCCTAAAGTAAACAGAAGAACGACGGGAAATCGACCGAGGAGACGTCAATTGTCGGAGCAGCTTCTTATATGACAAGTCAGACTGGCTGGTGGTGCTTCAGTGCAAGTGTTTCGTAATGCCGCTCGGAAGATACGGGCTTGGCTATGTGGCCCAAGACTTCCTGGCGGGTTGGGACAGGAAGGCTGAAGTGTGGAGGAGAGCAGGGTTGGATGTGAGATGATGCGACGCCAGACGAGTCGAGTGCAAGGTCTTTCCCGCAACTCAAAATGTGAGGAGGAAACCTTGCGGCCGGGTCTACTTGTTTTGATATGTCTCCCCAGGCGGTCTGTCTACCCGTCTGTCAATGAGTCGTTGACGCCTTCAAAGGACTTCGCAGCACCAATCTCGGCCCAGGCCCTGTCTGCTGGCGGATGATGCCTATGACTTCACCAGCAACGACGAGCCCACTGACTAGCGCAAGATTGGCGTGTCCAGGTGCGCGGGAACGATCACACCAGCAGCACACGAGGTACAGTAGAGTAGAGTACAGTAGGTAAGGTAACTCTCATTAGAGCGCGTGCGGCGTGAAGTGGACTGGTACTAGGGACCCCAAGGGGGGGACACTATTCGTAAGACGGGCCACTATGCTCGGAAATTTCCAGTCTCAGTCGTTGTTTAGTTTTTTCCCAGCCAAGCCTCCAGGCGCTGGGCAGGCGGGTTGAGAGAGTTTCCAGGACGGCTGTGGCCCAAGATGAGATGCCGAATAGCCTCGATATCGCTGCATGCACACGATTGACAGGCGGTGGGAAGGTGTCGAGCAGTGGATGCGGCCCCTGTGGCTATTGTGCAATGCCGTCGTCGATCATGGCAGGTGTGGCCCACTTGGTATTGGGGGATGGGCCGACCGACCTTGCAGGTGCACCTGAGTACCAGGAGTTCAAAGTACCTGCCTTCCTTATGCAGGATGGCACATCATCTTCAGTCTCTTCGCCTGGGAACTACTAAAGTGTAGCTTCCAGCGTTGCTTCTTGCCGTTTTCGCCGGACCACCAAGAACAGAAAGAGCACACCGAGAAAACGCGATACGCGATCAAAATGCGATTTCCTCTTTCTGACATCAATGGTCCAGGACCAAGGACCGGGACCAGCTGTGCCTACCTGCCTAGCTTACATGCTGCAATATCTAGGTAGAAATAGATAGGTATCTCATTACCTCTACTATTAATGGATGCCACACCTCACTATGCAGTGCATCTTGACCCTCCGCCCATTCCGTGTCGAAGTACCGTAACCCATGGGAAGGTAGGTGCTTACACGCATCTCGTACCTTGCTGACGACCTACCTTAACGAACCCCGGCGCCTTGGTCGTTCCGGCGGCGGTGTCTCGATGCCGTTGCATCGTCGTCTGCTTCAGGGCAGGCGACAGTCCATATTCATCCTCTAGTCTAGCATCCTTTTCGATAGCTCGGTGATTTAGTTGATGACGACTCAGATCGCTAACAGCTAGGTCCGCCTAGTGCGACTTACACCTTTCTCACCTAGCTGCCTGCCACCCATTAACCTAGAATTGGGTTGCCGCCGTGACAGAAGCAACCTGCCAACCACCCACGCAGTGTGCGTCGAATGGCTGCCCAGGCTTCAGGAACATAAAGTACGCATGGTTGGAAGACGAGGTGAAAAGGAAGCGTCCCGTGCTACCACGCATCTGCCATTGGAAGTGCCAGCCTGGATAGCTAGGTCAGAAGTACCTCGTTGAAGGGCTAGATTACTAGGTAGCTCATCCCCGGTACCCTGGGGCCGGTTAGGGGCTAGCCAACGGCTTTCGGTCTCGCTCTCCGAAGTTCAAAGCAGGATACAATCAATGTAGTAAGCAACGGACAACCCAAAATATCGCCCGCTCTGTGTACTGGCCAGCTAGCTACAAGCGCGCACATGGCGTATGGAGCGATTGAGCTCGTTGAAAGATTCGGCGTACTGAACCCAGTCGTTGAGGAATCCCCTTTTCTCGCCTGAAACGGTTCCTCTCATCTCTGACACCGTATCCTCCCTATTCGACGCCGACGTTGAACACGAATCCTGGATTTCACGAGTCAAACCCGAGGACTAAACTTGGAAGGCTTGGCGGCGCTGGGACAATTGCCAGGATCTGTCTCTCAGGGTCCATCTAGGCAAATCCGATGCTTACCGACGAAATGTCTCCAATGAGCAACACTGCTACCCAGTTCTATGGCTGCAAAACCCAGCCTTGCAATTATCACCTGTGCCAGGGACATCCGTATTTCCACGTATTTCACTTCCACGAAGGGCAATGGGGTATTCCAGGTGCCCAAGTGTGAGGAGCTAGTTTGCAAACAAAGCGAATACGAGCACAAAGAAATAGTGAGTTGTGCTCTGCTACAACTTTGTATTCCACCATTGAGTTCCTTAACTATTCGCCAAGGTACCTGGGAATGGAAGGATGGCGCCCATAATCATCGCATAAAATCATCACAAGCTACCAGTATTTTTGCCCACCCGCCTGAAGCTGTGCGACCATCAGTCAGCAGCTGAGATGGGTCTGTCAGACTGGTTGCCGCAAGCCCTGCCTTGTGTAGCTAGACCGGCAGAGAGGCTGTAGAGACGCTCAACTTCGTTGATGGCAGTGCTAACGCCCAGGGGCCTGTCATCCGTGGTCCATGACATTCATTGGCGACTTGATTCAGCCTCCAACGTCCAGCTAGACCAGTCGATCTTTGGTCTGCCGGTGCAGCGTGACGCGTCAACGGGCTCCTCAGAGCCGCTGTCCATGTAACGACCCGCATTCACCGGAGAAAAATCCACCAGGCTTCCCCAGACCATATCCTTTTCGGGAAATTGTGAGAAGAATGACAAGAAAGTGCCAAGGGCTGGGCTACTGAATCCAGTCTCTTCTGTTCGAGATCTGACAGAGTCGGATAGCTACCGACTACGACAGTGGCGTCACCGCACGAGTTGGCACATCAAAAAGCAACATGTACTTGTTACCTCGAATGCATGCTTGTCAGGATTGAAAACCAAGGAAAACGCAGGTTACCAGGCGATCTAGGAGCGCATACGCTGTTAAATTACGTCACATATCCTCGCCTCGCCTCAGCTCTCCCAGGTCTTTTGAACTAATCTTCGGACTAAGGGTGCCAGACCCAGGGAGACCTACAGCTCGGCGGTGCAGATGCTCGACGAAGGATCTGTTTTGTGTCCGCTCTCGAGGCCAATGAGACGATTCATCTTCAGCGATCATCATATCTGAGCAGGCATGGTCAACCAAGGCAACTGCCGTGCTTCCCGCGACGCCACACATCTCACAACAACCCAACTTTTTTGGTTGCCGTTCGGTTGCTGATCAAACAAATCGATCAGCAGCGGTGCTATTTCGAGCGCCTGTTGCTAACGCTTGGTGTGGGCGCTATCCGGCCCCCATGGCCGCTGACGGCACATCAACTGTCGGCCTAATGTTCCGACTGCACTGTAACGTATTTTCCTAATTAACGCTGCAGGGGCAACAGAATATCAGCCTTCGGGCCGCATTCTACTGTAGTGAGAGCCTCAAATCCGCAATTCTGTGCGTGCTTGCGAGGCGTATGCTGAAGCACCGACTTGCGTCTTATGAAAGCTGCCTGTTATCGGTGCTGTGAGGCGATATTGTGATCAAACTTCTTTTACTAAACGGGCTCGGCGTTCATATTCAAGGCACCGCCTTGGAAATGGCGTGATTGACGGCCTCAACAGCCTCAGCTCAGCCCAGCTGTTGATGGAATGTTTACTACTCAGGACCTTCGTAAACAAAGCAACATCTTGTAGTACGGTGCTGCGATGCAAATCTTTATACTATCAGGATCATCAGCTCCGCCTCAGACAAATCCACGGCTGCATAGTGTTCTGTTATGACATCGTGAACCCAGCATTCCTTAGTTTGATTATATGACCTCTTGCTCGAGATTTGAGCTGCCGTCTTCCTTATCGGCCCCTTAAGCTACTACATTATTATCCAGCAGTCCTAGGCTTAGTTGCGTCTACTCTTCTTAGAATGGCCTATGGAAAAGTAAGGCCTCACATTGTGTCAAGATCCTTATGTCATCCTACTCACACCATACATTTCGGCGAGCGCGATACATCTGAGTGGATTCAAGTCCGTCACAAGTTGCCAGACTATGGCCAAAATCAATCGTTCGTTTAATCTAAGATTCTTAGTATAGAAAATTTATGCATTGCTGAAAACATGAATCTTCAATCTCTCGCTCAGAAGCAGGGCAATACTAAATGTTCAAGGCATGTTTCAAGCCGTTCACATTCTGTGTATAATGGATTGGGATGTGCGATAGTTACACAATATCTTATCAATCCCACAGCAATAGAGGCATCAAGTTTCAAAGATTTCCAATCCCATGGTTTGCTAGCATGAGTCTCCTAGAGATCTGCCGATGTGACCCAATGTGAAGTATCGTGAGAATACACACGTTACCTATTACATAGTTTGTTAGTGGGGCATTTCATTACAGCGAGGGGCGAAGATTGAGAGAAGAAAAAATTAGAGCCCCTGTTCCGGCATCTAGGCCGATAAGACCCTTATCTTTCACTCTTATGGAACAGTCTCACCTATTTACTGGGACATCGCGCAATTGCTGCATCGTCAGCAACCCTCATACAGACGACACAACGACCGCGCGCCCTCATCGTTGGAATGAGGAGACTACCTCTCCTACCATCGGCTTCCATCCCTCACCAGATCCGTCGTGCCCTGCTCTCCTACCGCTCCTCGCCCTCCTTTCCCCTCGAAGCGCGATGGGCCGTCGCAGCCTCCGGTCTCGAGATCGAGCGTCTCTTCTCCTCGGCCGCGGCCGCCCTCGCCGACATCCAACCCGGTGAGAGCCACCACGCCTCCGCAGACCCCTTTGGCGATGCCGCCGCCACACTACCCAAGCTGCCGTACCGCTTCGAGACCGGCATCGCACTGTTCGCCAAGCGGGCGCCGCGGCCGTTCCCCCCGCCTTTTCTCAGCCCGCCGAGCGGCTCCTTTAGCGATCCGCTGAGTACACACCACCGCAGCCGGGACCGCCGCGCATTCGTCAATGGCGAGTTGATCCAGGGGTGGACAAATGGCGACGATGCTGTGTTCGAGAGCGACTACTTGATCTGCGCGAACGATGGGGTGGGGGCTTGGTCGGCAAGGCCCAGGGGGCATGCTGGGTGCGCACTCTCTCCGGGTCACTGGGAAGCTTCGTGTGTCCATTTTACTTACTCTGCTGTCACAGGCTCTGGGCGCGTTTGATATTACACTTTTGGGCAAGGGCGATGTTTGAGGATGCCGAGCGACCGCGGCCGGCCGGCCAGCCGTACGAGCCAGTTCCGATTAGGTACCTACAGCAGGCGTATGAGCAGACCATCGAAGCAACGTCAGAGCCGGATTGGCAAGGTACTACGACAGCTTGCGGGGCACAATTGCACTACAAACAGGCTGGTGAAGCAGAGCCCAGCAAGAAGAGCGACACTGGCAAGGAGACACATGGGACGGAACCTTTACTCTACGTGACGAACCTTGGAGACTCGCAAGTGATGGTTGTGCGGCCTAGTGCAGAAGAGCTCGTCTTCAAGACAAAGGAGCAGTGGCATTGGTTCGACTGCCCGCGGCAATTGGGAACAAACAGCCCGGATACTCCAGTATCCAATGCTGTGCTAGACAAGGTGTCGATACAGGAGGGGGACATCGTTCTCGCTATGACTGACGGCGTCATTGACAACCTTTGGTCTCACGAGATCGTCGAAAACGTCAGCAAGAGCATCAAAAGGTGGGAGGCAGGAGAGGGCGGAAAGGGCCATGGTGGAGATAGGACAGGAGGAGCAAACGGTGGCATGACATTTGTTGCGGAGGAGTTAATGGTTGCGGCCAAGACGATTGCGCTCGATCCATTTGCCGAGAGTCCCTTCATGGAGCATGCCATCGAGGAGGGTCTCGCGAGTGAAGGAGGTAAGATTCAGCTTCCCAATGAGTTCAAGAATTGCTGCTAAGGCAAGCATAGGAAAACTTGACGACATCAGTGTCGTAGCAGCACTTTGCACTCGCAACCCCTCATGGGATGAGAAGTAGGGGTGCCTCCGATCCGTAAAGGCCCTATGGAAAGGCAAAACGATATGTCTAACGAGGACATGATCAGGTACAGGACAGGTTTGTGTGAATCGCCTTCTGATTTCTTGGCACTGAGCAGGTAGAGCACACATTTTCGAAGCAACTGGCGTTCAGGGAAGGCATAGAGGGCGTTTGGGTTTGATGTTCTATTGGCATCTTGTATAAGGCATCTAAAAATAATGATTCTAGCGGCATCTCATGCCTTAGCCTACCTACCTAGGTAGTTACGGGCTCCAGCTGTTCTGGAGGGACGGGAGCTGTCAGTAAAAGCGCCCCGCCTCAGCCCGATAAGATAAGGACAGGGAAAAAATAAATTACCACCACCCAAAAGTTCAAGGCCTCTAGACTTCATTCGTCGATTACACTCAACACAATTAGACTTCGCGCAAAGCAGTCAAAATGAGGGCCAAACGGAGTAAGCAATATCGCAAGCTCATGAAGCAGTATGCAATTCATTTCGGCTTCCGTATGTCTGCCGTCCATCACCTAAAACCTCGGGCATGCTAACTCTAGGCAAGGCGAACCATATCAATGCCTTCTGGACGCCGACATGATCAGGGACGCATCGCGATTCGTAATGGATCTCGTTCCGGCACTGTCAGTATTGAATTCACTCTCACTGGTCTAAGAAATCTTCTTTTGCTGACTTGCTTCCGTGCGCTCCAGAGAACGGACCCTCCACGGACAGGTAAAGCCGATGGTCACGCAATGCACGATGCGGCATCTCTACGCACGCAATAAAGAGCCGGGGATGGACAAGGTCATAGATCACGCCAAGACGTTTGAGAGAAGACGGTGCGGCCACCACCCGGATCAGTTTCCCGAGCCCCAGAGCACAATGGACTGCCTGCGGTCGGTAGTTGGTACGGAGTCGAACAAGCACAGATACGTTGTAGCAACACAGGATCACGATGTGCGCAGAATGTTTCGACAGGTTCCCGGTGTTCCCCTCATTTACATCGAGCGAAGCATTATGCTCCTAGAGCCAATGGCTGGGGCCACATCAAGGGTAGCGGCGAAGGAGGAAAGGGAGAAGTTCCGTGGTGGTATCACCAAGGTCGGAGCCGGCGTGAAACGGAAACGAGAAGAGGAGGAGGAAAACCAGAGCAGTGCAGATGACGATAACGAAGGAGACCGAACAACTACAGAGCCAGAAAAGAAGAAAAAGAAGAAGCGAAGCGGACCGAAGCAGCCCAATCCACTTGCTGTGAAGAAAGCCAAGAAGAAGCCGGCCGAGAGTCAAACAGGTCAGAAACCAAAGAAAGCAGAGATACCAGCCGAGACACAATCATCAGATGCGCCGGCGAAAAGGAAGAGGAAACGCAAACATAAGTCCCATGAAACAGGGGATACCCAAGCTGAAGCTCAGCAGGAGGCTGTTTCAGCTGTTTGAGAATGGCTGAAAGGCCGAGTTTGCGTTGTTCAAGAATTTTTAGCGGTCGGGGCAGTCAGTTCATCTGATGCATCAATGATGTGAGAATGATACCTCAATTCTAGCTACTTCGTATAAGTACAAGAGTCGAATGTAAGACTTGTTTCTGTGCGTGATATGCTGCCTCAAGGCCGACAGCATCCGGAGTGGTGATACAAACAGTTTCATATGATACACAAGAAGCTTCATAGAGTTCCCTAGACTTCGTGACTACGTGACCAATATCTCCAACTGACAGGGTCTGCTGCCCAACAGCTGAAGGACAAGAATGAACCTTCCAAGGGTTCGATCGATTACGCAAGTGCAGAAAGTAAAACAAGCCAATTCACAAAATCAAAAGGGAAAGAAATCAAAGACTAGGGGAGATTATTATTGAGGACCAGAGACGTTGTAGAGCCGCATGGGTAATTATTGCTCAGATGCTGGTCCTTACTCAGGAGAATGACCAGCATGTCAAACGGGGAATTGATCCCAGTTCTCCTATGCCAGTATTTCCGGGGAGGCTTGCCAAACTTTCAACAACGGTCCAGACGTCATTGGCAGATATTGGGAAAGTCGATGAGCGTGGGAGGCGAACTGAGACAAACAGTGTAGCCGACTTCTGAGCAGGCATCCATACTGTAGGGGCACGTCAAAGTACCAACTGAGAGAATTATTGTGCAGACATCGAATGAAAAGAAAGAATTGCCACAAGGACCAATTTGTCCATCTTAGCAGCGCGATCCATTAGGAACAGCCGAACAGTGATCGCGGTCTTCCAGCGACAATATCACTGTGTTTGCATCGTGTATAAGTGAGATCCAGGTTTGGACAGCGGTCATGTTCCGGCAAAGCGGTAGCCACGACTGTAGAATCGATCCAAATAGTCGAAACCACAAAAGGTGGAAAAATTTGCAATACTCAAGACAGAAAGGCGAGAAGTTCATGTATCGTTCGTCAAGACATTGCCACAGAAGACAATTGTAGGTGGTGTTCGGGGACATCGGTCGCAGCAAATTTGAGAAATCAGGGCGCAAAAGAAAACTAAGAGATGGTTAGTTTAGTTTCTATTCGAATCTTTATGACTCCCGTGTTACTATGCGGAAGCTGTCTTTATGCAGGATCAAGCTTACCGAAGATTGGTCGACTGTGAATGCTCGACAACAGCGGTTGGAAACATGGAAGTGACCATTAATAGAATGAAGCATCATGAACAAGCTGGATCACATGTCTAGGAAGACATTCTTCTCTGAAACGTTCAGACTATGAAACAATATTAACACAGACCAGGAATCAGGAGACGCCGGTGGAGATACATGCCTTAATAGGTAGCAGCATATGTTTGAGCGGCTCGTCCGCCGTGATGACGGCCTTGACCTAGAAACGGATGTCAACATCTGTGATTTCGTTCCAATCATAGCACCAGGAAGTCAAATTGTTCTTTCATACCTTGATTGTGCAGAGCCGAAGACATGCTGGAATGGAAGTGATCAGCGACAGGCGGGAACGAGTAATTGTCGGTTGACTGAAAAGTAGATCTTTCCTCATCATTCATGTGATTTTGATCACTGGAGCTACCGCTGGCCACGTTGTTGTCTTGTGTGTCTTCATTCAAGCGACCATGAGCCGCAGCGATACCATCGACGACAGATTTGGCATAACGGGTCATAGCCTCCAAGTCGGAATCCGTCGGTTGGTGACCATAGAACTCATCATTCATATCGGGCTTGGGCATATCTTTGAATACGGCGTCGAAATCACACACGCAAGTGGTCGAGACGTCCGGCACTGGGACCTCATCATCATGGTTGCGCATGAAAAATGAGGACTGGTTGGACTGTGCATTCTCGTGAGCGGATGGCCAGTCAGTAGGAGAAGGGCCTAGATTGCGAGAATGCTCGTAGTCTCTTGTATTCATGGGCATAGAGAAGTTAGGCACACCACGATCGGGCATCTGACTGTTGATCCCCTGAGATCGAGCTTGACTTGGCCTTGGAGCATGGGCCGTGTGAGCCTGAGGGGCAGCACCGTTGTAGAAGCCAGGATTCAGGAGATGAATTGGAATTGGCATTCCAGTAAGCGTAGCGCTCGGTGATGGCAGATCAGTATCATCATGTTCGTGACCCTGGGTGAACGTAGAGGTATAGGTATTGCCATTGTGCATGAACGTGCCATTGCTGAGGTGATCATCGTGATCCGCAAACGCATCGCGTCGATCATATTGACGATTACCTGGACCGCCGGTATTGCCTCTTGTCTGCGTGTCGTAGCGCTCAGCAGGGCTTCCATTGCTGACAGCTCCAGGATCACGACGAGAGTGTCGAGCCTGGGCAAAACGGCCCGGGCCGACGGTATGCTGATGCTCAGATTCAAATGCGTGGCTGAAAGTTCCTGTGCGTTCAGAGGGACCGGCAGCCTCGTATTCCTGTGAGGTCGAGATTTCTTCATCGCTTGGCCAGTGTACACTCTTTGACGAAGACGGCGCACGCCCTCGCATCACGGGCGGAGTGGGAATGTTATCCGTCTGGGTGCCGACGTCTCTGGGATGCCGATCTCGAGATGAGATAGAGGTCTCAGGATCAGTGGCATGATTTTGGTCGGGGTTCTGGCCTGGTTGACCAGGAGAACCATTGCCAGTCTCAGGAGTAGGAACTCCCTGGCTTGTCGGCGTTGACATAGATTGGGCGTTGTCATTGTTCACCTGAGACTCGCGAGCACGTTGAGCGGCACGAAGCTCAGGCTGAGAGTCCACCTCTGACTCAACAGTTGGACCACGATGAGTGCCAGAGCTGTTGCGAGTAACAGTTTCGTTGACGCGAACGGGCTCTGGCTCAGGTGCGTCCTGCGACTCGAGCAAATCGGCATTGTGATACATGCCTCGAAGGTCTCTGGGAGAAGGCTCAATTTCCTCTGAAGAGCGAGAATCATGCACAGAATCGACCTCCTCTTCCTCCTCAATCTCATGCAGATCATCCTGAAGTCAAAGAAGTCAGGCGTTGATCAACTCAAATGCTACAAGGGGGACACTTACACGTCGGCCAGGAGAGTCTACCTGGCGTGCAGAGGGAGCAACTTCGCTTTGCAGGATGATTCTATCGTCCCAGCTGTTCGAGGTCTCACGACATCTATTGCAATAGTTCGGAGGGCACATTTCATCCCTCCCAAGCGGACGATTATGGTCATGGAAGTTTACGGAGCGAAGGATACCACATCCATAGCAGTAATATCGTAAGCCCCGGAAAGAGAGAGGCTTACCGTCCTCCTCAGCATTGAAGCGGCATTTCAGGCAAAAGTTTGCCTTCGGGCGCTGTCCAGGCTGGAGGGGGTACTTGCTGCGGAAGGCAATCGATCTCAAGCGGCCACAGCTGTAGCAGAAGAATTCGTCGTCGAAAGAGATTGACACTTCCGGATAAGGACGGCGGTCACGTTCATGGCGCTGTTGAGCGCGGTATCGTTGACGAAGAGACCTCTCTTCAGGTTCGCCATGACGTCGCGAATCGCGGCCGCTACGACCGCCGTTATGATGATGACCATGGTCATCGTGATGGTCGTGAGAGCGATGTGAGTGATCAGCCTCTCGGTGATCGCGATGCTCCCTGCGGCCACGATCTTCATGACGGCCGTACGTCGTCGTACGGCGAAGAAGCTGTCTGAAGCTCATCTCAAGTCGCTTAGCTTTTGGGACCGTAAGGGTGGCAGGTGTGTTGTCTGTTGCAGGAGCAGGCTTGGCTTCTGCTATGCTATGAAGGCTTCGAGAAGACGGCCTGGAAACGGAAAGCTGTCTATTTTCACCTGTGTCTGGAGCCAAAGGCGAGGAATTGTTGTTGTTTTGGGAAGGTTGGTATTGTTTGGGAAAGAAGGAGGGCTGGAGTGGTGTAGCAGAGAAGATGAAAGAAGTCTGTTGAGCTTGGTGAGCTGCAGATGGTTTGCGATGATCCTCCCCCTGAAGATTGTTGCCGCGAGAACCGGGGTTGACTGCTCTCATGCCTTCATGGCGGTTCTGCGTGTCATCAATATCAAGACTCTTAGCCTTTCCAATAAAGTCTCCAGGCAGGTCCTTTAGGCAGGTAATAGGCTGTCCAGTTGTAGACACCAGTTCTTCCTCCCATATTGTCTGACCATTCATTGTGAACTGGCAGACAAGACCTCTTGATGTTTGCCTGATCTTGGTTGTGATTGTTGGGCTCACATCTCGAGAGCTGGACCTAGCATCGCATTTAGCTCCTCGATCTTGGATGTAACTGAGAAAAATGTGAGACTCGGTCACAATCATGCACTCATACTTACTGATCAGGGAGGTCCGGGGAACATGACTTCTTGTGTCGTGGCATCGTGATAGCAGAAGCCTTTCAGCACAGGAAAGCAGACAAATATGCTTGATGATTGGGAACGGTGCAGCTCATCCAGTTCATCCGGGGAAAGAAGGAGGGGAGATGGTCGATGGAGTTGGCAAAGAAGAAGGTGTTGCCACAAGACAAAGAGGCGAGGGAAGAGACCGGGAAAGGATAGTGGGCTGCACCGTGATGGTGAGGATGAGGATGAGGACGAGGGTGAAAGGGTGGAAGATTTTCAGTCGTGTATAGTCGTCGAGGGGGCGTCGATTGGAAGTGAATCAGGATGAATAAAAATTGTGGAAGGCAGAATCGAAAGGGGTAGAATCAAGAGGGGAGCAAAGCAAGCCATCGTCAACTCAGCCAGCACGTGCTAGCCCGACTTTATTTTCATCCCTAATATTGTGACACCTCTGCAGAGCTGAGTTTTGTTGCATCATAGGAAAACAATATGCCTTTGTGACCCTTTTCCATAGAGCTGCTTGAGCCTTGTTAGTGGCACATGTCCTCCCTATTCGAGAGCAAAACACCATGATCATAGCAGCTATGGCCTACCTTACAACTAGCAGTTGCGACGACGACACTAATCGAATACGACCGTTTGGTCTTTGACAATCCGGGCCTGTATTTTCAAGTACCTGAACTTTTGATTCTACACACTGGGCAAACGGCCCGATCCCATCCTGGGCAATGACACAAGGAAAGCGTTACATTTGAGCTTTACATCTCCATCAACCTCGTCTGCTATCCACACTTAATCTACTCGGAGAACTCTGGGCCCTCTCTTCTTAGTCGCCTTCTTCTTCTTATGGCCTTTCTCGAACGAGGCTGCCGCAGCATGATCTCGTCCAACGTTGTCAAGGTCCTTCACCTTGTAAATCCGGATAATCCAGTTCTCACTTGTGAACGCCTCCTCAAGAGTGTTGAGGACGGGTCCTTCAGCTGGGAGACGAGCACCACGAACCCGGTCCTGGGCCTGCCCAGGAGGGAACAAAGAGTTGTAGTTGTAGTAAGACATCTTATACCTATTTCAGCTAATTAGCATGCGATTGCTATGAGTAGTGTCATAGAAGTCCTTACATCAGGGAGTTCTTCATCGTCTCAGTAGCGTCGCCGTCAACACGGTACTCGCCGCGAGCCGTGAAAAAATCTCGCTCCTTGACCTCATCAGGCCAAATGCCCTCGGCAATTCTGACCATCCAGAGGAACTTGTTGATATCGTCTCCGGAGTAGCCCAAGAGACCTCCGAACACGACCAGAACGTAGTCTACCTCATGTTGGCGCATGATGGGGTAGCTGACTTCCTCTCGCGAGCTCATGGCCTTGCCAACAGTGGCTATGTGGGTGTTGTTCCATGTGTTGTTGTCGACAAGAGTGGGCCGGTCAGCCATGCCGCCGATTTGGTAGCCATAATCCCACCAAGACATGATCTTTGCGTTCTCGTGAGTGTTTTGACGGAGCCACTGATAGGCCTCACGGTAGTCATCAATGATGTGCTGGCTGCCGTCTGGCATCCTGCTTGCCAGGACGACGGATGGCGACGAGTAGGCATTCGAGGTAACCCAAGTGCAGTGCATAACGAAGAGCAGGAGATAGACAGTCATGGCAGTAGTGATGACGCCCTTCGAGACAAGACTGTAAATGCCGACGACGGGCTGGTTGGACACCCGAAGGTTGGTATCCTTGGAGCCCTTCTTCGCAGAACCATCGCTTCCGGGAGCAGTGGTAGCCTCGGGAACTGGCGATTTGATGCTCAAGAAGCTTCCCAGCATGGATGATGCCGCAAGTGCCGCTGCCACACAGACCACAGGTGTCAAGGTCAGCATCAGTCGGACCATGACGCCGGCGAAGTAGCTGGCGCACAGACCATAGATGACGATGAAAACATGTTCATCCTCAAGCTTCTCAAAGCATAGATACACACCGGCTGGGAAGAGCCAGATGAGCATGTTGAGATCGAAGAAGAATGCTGGCCAGGCTGTGGGTTGATGCTCGGAGACTGATGCAATGATGGGAATGTGAATTTTGGCATAGCCAGTGTCCCAGAGGGAATAGAAACGGCCCGTCCATGGTGCGATGTATCCCAGCTTTGTCAGGAGGAAGAGACCTCCAATACCACCAACCAAGACACTGGCACCCAAGCCCCACAGTAGCTTTGAGAACTGGCGTTCCGAAACGGTGGACTTGACATAGTTCATGAAGGCCACCAGTTGAAGCAAGCCGAACATTCCTGTGAGAAGTCAGAACTGATGTTGCATCACGTTACTGAAGATGAAAACCTACCAAGTGAAGGCATATGCTCGCTAGTCCTTACAACGAGAAAGCTGACAAAGGGGATCTGCATGGCTCCCAAGGCACCGAGCACATACCATGTGGTATAGGCAATATACAGCCTAGTGCTATACCTACCCATCAAGAGGAGAGTAAGGGCATGGACAGGGAGGAGGCATGTGATGAAGGCATATCCACCCCATGAGGCAACCATGTAGTCGTAGAATAGAGCGCATAGAGCACCCCACATCATAGACCCCTGCTTCAGCGCCTTGATCCAGAGGTAGAAGGTGAAGACGAGCAGAAAGATGGAGATGGCCTCGTTATCATAACTTCCGGCAACGGATCTGGAGATGTAGCCTGGCGCAATGCCCATAAAAATTGCGGCCAATAGACCAGCCGTTTTGTTCGGGGTCATCTCATTGGTCAGGAGGTAGGATGAGACGGCAGTCAGACCTGAGAAGACAGGTGCGAGGAGGACGCAGATGTTTCGAATGTCGACAGGGACGGTGAGGAATCGCAGGAGGTGGTAGATGACACCGCTGGTGACCATCAAGCCTGGGTAGAGAGTGCCTCCGGTAACTCGACCAAGAGGGTGCCATGTTCGATCATCGAACCAATTCCAGAAGTCATAGAAACCATGTGCCACCAGATGCTTTGTAGCCCTGAAGTTGAACCAGGGATCGACTAGGAGATGTGTTAGCAGGTACGGGGTCTCGGAACTTAAGCTGCAGCATCAGCCGAGTGATGCTGTGGGATTCAAAGACGAACATTCGTGGATAATCGATTCGAACCCTGTATTCAAGAAACTTGTGTCAGCATTATTGAAATAATGGGTAATTCTTCCGAAACAACAAGAGCTTAGAGTTGCTGTCCAGAGAAAGTGGCCCTTGAGGAATGGGTAAGGAGCTTCACTCACGAATCACCGAGAACAATCGACTAGCAATTGCGGCGCCAGCGATCAAGCAGAGAATGACAACCCGTAGCAGGGCCCGGGTACTCTTTCCCTTGCCACTGCTGGCAAGCAGATCGAGAGCATCACCCGACGACGACATTGTTGTGGCCGGATTTGTGGTTGGGTGAAACAGGCGTCGCCTGGAGGGACAGAGTGGTGGGTTTTGGAGGTGAGGTCCTCCTACAAACCACAAGCTGCTTGCTGGCCACTTTGAGGACACAGTTGGAGCTTCCACGCGTCAGAATTGGGGGATGTACCTTACCATGCTAAGTCTTGGCAGGCAAGCTGATGCAGCTACGGCAGGGTTGCCAAATGGAACAACGCCCATGGGGACGACGCTTGCCCTGAAAGGGGTGCTGATAGAGGCGGTGTGGTGCGGCATGAAATACCTAGATGGTCAGCTTCAATGATCATGTTAGTCAGCCAGCATCACTCAATGCCCAACATCTTCCCTATCCTCCTGATTCAGATACGTGGAATGCTATTCTACGAGGCTATTGTATGGTCACTTGGCTCACTTTAATCTAGATTTTTGAGGTCGTCAAAACCCCTGCTTGATTAACATTGAGTGCAACCAGAGTCACGGACTTGTTTGTTGCTGCTAGCTGAGCACTAAATTGATAAAGACATGACAGCTGCTTAATGCCCTCACAGCTAATCTAGTCATTACCATCCGAGAAATCCTGTTGAGATTCGGCCATACTATAAGCTTTCTAGTCGAAAATGTGATGCAACAAGGGGTTTCTGTTGACTGCCGTGCCCAATAAACATCTTTTTCTAATGCCAGCAAGCTACATTTAACACTATTTTGGTCCCAATGAGGAGACAACTGGTATGTTAGAGCCCATTGCAAAGATGATTGATATAGGGTTATTCTTTGGTATCATACTCTTTCAGATCGCCGATTGTGTTAGTGTTGCTAGTCATGAAACTCAACTAGTTGAGGAAATTGCCTTGTTTCCAACAAGTAGGGGAGCCGAGGAGACTCTGACTTTCTCAGGCAACGAATAATTTGAAAAAGTAGACATATATAGAGGAGGTACATAGTACTGTAAGTTGAGGTTAGTGAGCAGTGGATGTAGATGTGGGCAACTTTTCTCGCACAGAACTCATGCCTCCTCGACTCTAGCAGCCTCTTCACAGCTTTACCTAGAACAAGAGCCAATTGAGAAGTTCAATTCACAGTCAGTCACGCAACATCACAAGGTACCTGGCATCACAGTTCATTGCAACCTCCCACTTAATATTCCGGGCAAATTGCCGTCTAGTTCTGTATTGTACACATGTACAGCGTAAATAGGCAAGGAAAAATGGTCTATGCCGCAGTATCGGTGTACCACAATCATACACATGGCTGATTTCATATCTGCCAGGTTGTCATCGCTTCGAGGCTCCTCGTCTGCTCGTTGCTGTTCCGGATCACACCCCATCTTGGTCTCGGGCTCCGCTATTCACCATATGCCGTGTCCTATTGCCCCATCCATTCGAACAACCAGGTCAATCAGCTTTACGGGTTCTCTTTTGCGAAAGCGGTCAAATAGGCCTCCAGGTCGAAGTTCGGGTCCTCGGGATCTTGCTTGGCTGGTTGGGAGAAGTCAGTCAGTAATCGCGCATCAGATGATGTAGTCGCTCGAGAGAACTCCTGGTATTATCTTCTGGTCACTTACTTGCGCTCTTGGTCGTGGCAGCAGTGACGGGCTGCTTCGACTTTGTGTACTCGGCCTTGGCCTTGTCTATCAGCGCCTGCTTGTGCTCATATTCCCGACGCGCAGCAGCCGCCCTCTGGGTTGCGTTGATTGATCTCTGGTGGTAGAAGCCGTAGAAAACGCCCACGGACAGGGCCGAGTACCGTAGTACCTATGATAGATGTTAGTCTGTCAATCGCGCAGGTAAATCCCCCCCTTCCGTCACCCGATCGCCGCTCAATGGATTGTCGGGGTGGTTCGATGTTTGGGGGGTACCGGCTAGCGGGTGGAAAAATCGCAAGTGACATACGTTGACTGCAGAGGTGGTAGACATTGGGGAGTAAGATGTCTGCGCCGCGCGACAGCTGGTGAGACGTGGAGGAAGACTGGATGGACAGCTCGCGAGGCGGCAATTGGCGTCAATTGACCCGTCGTGGCCGGTCAGGGAGTTGGGAGATGCGGTCGGTCGGGCGGTTTGGGGATGATGTGAAGTTTTGAAGAGGTCGGGATTTTTCGCTGGCTGTTTTCCCAGGCCCGGCCCCCGAGCTTGGCTGGCTGGCTGGCTGGCTGGCTGGCGCTGCGCTACCTACTGCAGCAGCTCCAGGCTTTCCAAGGCTCTTAGTACCCGCTAGGCCGACAAATGAAATCCCAAGTTTTGCCGACAAGCCCGTGAGAGATCACATGTTTTGCATGATGGGAGAAAGACGCCCGGAGCGTGGCTTTAGTGTGTCACTGGCCTTGTGCTACCCCCTGGGCGGCGCCCCTAACGCAAGCCCCCAGCGCCGAACAGGTCCCCTTTAGTTAGCTGCCAGGTGCTACTGGCCGTCACGGACGCGCATCAAATAAAGGAACGGGCTAATACCACCCTGTGTCAACCACGAATTCCTACGACACCGACGTCAAGGACCAAACGAGACAGCTTACTGAGTGTATCAACGGAGATACAGCCCTGCATTTCATTTTCGAGTAGACAACCACAGAAACGTCTCTGGAGATGGGCTGTTAAGCGCGCGGCACAATGCAACAACGACGAGATGAGATCCTCGCGAAGAAGGCGAAGCTCGCAGAGCTTAAGCGTCAGCGTGAGCTTCGAGCCACGTCTGGCCGTCCGAGCCTGGGGAGCCCGGGCGATGTAAGTAGATCATCTCTGCGGTCGCGGCCATAACTTGCTAATGAAGTTTGCAGCTAATATCGCCTACTCCTGGCCGCGCTGACAACCGGCGCGAAATAGAGTCGCTAATCAACAGCCTCGTGGGAGAAAGCCGCCCGGGATCAACAACAACTGGAGGAGCTGCATCGCCTGCACCTCGCGGGAGCCGACCAAATAGCGTACTTAGTGCAGGAGAGCTCAGCAATGAGACATCCGAGTTTGCTGCGCCAGCAAACGGGCAAACACAGACGGTTACGACCCAAACCCAGACCCTCACCACAGTCGCCCTTACGACCATCTACGAGTGCCCTCCTTCACCAGTCAAGGAGATATTTTCCTACAGCAAGGGTGTGCAGACAACGGAAGAATGGACGCCCACATCTCGACCGCGCGCTTTCTCGATAGAATCACAGACCGATGAACCCACATCAACACCGAGCAAGCGGATGAGCCGCAGAGACCGGGACCGTGAGGAGGAACTGCGAGAGAATATACGCAAAGAGATCGAAGAAGAATTACGGGCTGCAAAAGAGCTCATATCAGAAGGAGATGGAAAGACCGCATTACTTTCCACGTCCAGCTTCTCTGGCAGGACGCTGACCTCGGAGGAGCTCAATGCAATTGTTGCTTCTGACGAATTCGTTGACTTCTTCGAGCGTTCGACAAAAGTCATCGAAAAAGCACTTGATCAATACGATATTCTGACAGATTACACTCTACAAGCACACGAGATTGATGAAGATGAAGACCAGGGCAACACGGGGGGCAAAGGGCGGCGGAAGGTACGAGAAATCCGACAGTTCTACGACGAGCGATGGTCCAAGAAGCGTATGATCAGTGCCATCGACTTCTCGCCCAAGTTTCAAGAACTTCTACTGGCCTCCTACACCAAGAACCCATCCGCGCCTCATGATCCGGACGGCATTGTCCAGGTGTGGAATCTGAATCTACATGACAGGCCCGAGTTTGTCTTCCATGCTCAATCGGACATTCTGACTGCTAAATTCTCCCCTTTCCACCCCAATCTCATCATCGGCGGGGCTTACAGTGGGCAAGTCCTACTCTGGGATACAAGAGCGAAATCTGCTCCTGTACAAAAGACTCCTTTGACAGGCTATGGGCACACCCATCCGGTATATGCCGTCGACATTGTTGGCACACAGAACGCCAACAACATCATCTCATGCTCTACAGATGGCGCGGTCTGCGGGTGGAGCGTTGATATGCTTGCGCAACCGCAAGAGAGTTTGATACTCACCACTCCGCCTCCCTCTAAGACCGAGGATCTAAGTCCTACTTGCCTGGCATTCCCCCAGGCGGATCCCACTTTCTTCCTCGTTGGGAGTGAAGAAGGCACAATTTATCCTTGCCATAGATATGACCGTGCTGGAGCGAAAGCTGGAGTGGACGCCCGCGTTAGCTACAAGGGCCACGCTGCTCCGGTCATGTCGGTCGACTTCCACCCCGCTAGGGGTCCTGTGGACTTGGGCGATCTGGTCCTTTCTAGTAGTCTGGACTGGAGCGTCAAGCTATGGAAAGTGCGTGCGCCGGCTGCCACATCCACCATCTCAGGGGTTGGCGCGCTAGGCGAAGGTGCAGTATCTCCTTTGATGGAGTTTATCAGGGAAGATGTGGTTTACGATGCAGCCTGGTCACCAGTCAAGCCGGGCGTGTTCTCGCTCGTCGATGGTGCTGGATGGTTAGAGCTTTGGGATATCACTGTGGAGACCGAAGAGCCGGTCGCGAGAATAAGCCCAAGCCCAAGGAAGGATGGTCGTACAATGCTGTCCAAGAGTTTGAATAAAATCACATGGGAGCAGCAAGAAGGAAAGAGGCTGGCCACCGGTGGGATTGACGGCTCACTCACAGTTTTTGAAGTTGGACCGGATCTGGGTGGCAAGGAGAGCCTGAAGAATGAGGAGTGGACCAACGTAAAGAAGTTGGTCAACAGGGTAGAGGCTGTCGGCGTCAACGGTGTCACTGGTGTTTAAGCGGAAGCACAGGGCCGCGATGTCGCCTCGCCTTGGCCTTCTTGACAGGATCTGCCCCTAGATTTAGTTGTGACACATGTAGTTCAGCCAATGTTATACCCCATGTTTTGTCTATGATCTCGGCACAGCATCTCGTCTACTGATGAAGGCAGAGAGCCAGATATATGCGTCTACAAATGATGTATAGCCTAATATCTCAGTTGTTCAGAACGCCGAATAACTGTAAGTTTGCTAATATCGCAAGATCGAAGAAGTGGATTTCCGGATAGTGGTTTAACCGCACAAACCCATTTGAACTTGATTCTTGTCGATTGAAGAAGCTATTTGCCAAAGGATTTGTCTTTTGAAATTATGTTCGTAGAAGAATTCGTGATTGTTATGAATGGAATCACTGGAGATGTTCGAGGGAGCGGCATAAAGTTCGCCCGGAACCGCGCGTGCTCACGTGGAGTGACATTAGAATTTCTTCACTTTTGTCCATCTTCAAACATATAATGACAGACACACATAACACGTAAGTAGTATCTCTTAGTCACTTTTCTTGCCGTTATCAAAGCTTGTGATGAGTAAATTGATGAATTCTGCAATTCTGAAGTAATTTATTTCCGATGTAGAGAAACCTTTTATCAACTCTGATACAATTTGCCCTTATTTGCGCGAGAGCGAGGCTTCTGACTGATTTGTCTGCTATTACATATCGCTAACAGCTTTCAAATAGAATTTTTTCTGGACCAAGTTGCGGCCCGAGCTGGCACTTCAGGTGTCGATGGGAGAACCAGCTGGGTAGCGACTTCCTACCGTCTGAAAGGTTGCCAAGATGGCATCAATCTCAGCGAGGTCCTCTTCGCTCAGGTCGACCTCCACTGAATTCTCATTGACGCGCTCTACTGTTGAGGCTCCGGGGATTGGGATGATCAGCGGCATGCCAGGCCTTTTTGACAAGCTCTTCACCCAGTTAATGGCCAGCTGTGCCGGGGTACATCCCTTGTTCTTGGCTAGTTGTTCTACCTTCTCGACTAGCTTGAGGTTCGCTTCGAAGTTCTCCGGCTGGAATCGGGGGAAACCCATAGCCACGCGCAAGTCACCTTCTCCAAGGTCGGCAACGGATTTATACCTGCCAGTCAGAATCTGAGTTACACAAGTTAGGTCATGCAAACCGTTGTTCAGATCCCATATTGCGAAGAAAGATTATTACTTACACCTCGTCCAATTGGTGAGTAAGCAACTAAAGGTATGTCATGCTGTGCACAGGCAGCTGCGATACCATTATGAAGAACGTCCGTTGTAAAGAGGCTCAGCTCGACCTCCACAGCGGCAATTTTTGCGACCTTCACGGCTTCATGGATTGTGGCTGCAGAAACCTCGGTGAGCATAATGCCGCCCAATTTACCTGTGTCGATGTACTCTCTCTGCAATGTCCCAAAAGTAACCTCAAGTGGCGTATCTGGGTCGCGTCGAGCACACTCAAAAAGATCCAGTTTCTTGCGGCCATTCAGTTGCTTAAGATTCGAGTCCATACTTCGGCGAATCTGTTCCGGGCTACCATCCACCTTGTGGGTATCTGGATTGACTGCTCCCTTTATGCTGATAACGATCTTTTCCGCATCTTCCGGGTACTTCTCAAGGTATCGCTCTAGGAGCACCAAGCTATTGTAAGTCGGAGGGCCGTAGAACTCGCCGCCGTTCCAAAAATTGCAGCCATTCTTGAGAGCGGTTTTCATGACTGCGAAAGCTTGCTCTTGGGAAGGCGGCTCTGTTCTCCAAGTTAAGCCTGCTCAAGTATGTAAGTAAACCTTGATGGTTTCTTGGTGTACAGTGTTGGCATACCCATCAGTCCAAACCCTGTTGGGCCGACTTGTTGTCCGTTGACTTGCGGCATTTTTCCTTCTGTGACGGTAGCTTGAACCAATATAGAGCTTTGATTGTGACAGTAGCTTAGCAATTTGTAGAAAATTGAAGTCTGGTTTGTGTGGATATCAATGATGTTGTGGTGCGGAAGATCAAGATTCTGATAAGCCTTTATACTCGGGTTCAGTCGCAAGTGAACGAACACCGAAGCAGAGGGACGAGCACATTGCAGAATTTCACGGAGACTTTGTACTTCCCGTCCGACATTATCAGACTGCTTGGAACTTTTCTATGACATGCAAGGGACGCTACGGGTTTATCTCGAGTCTCGTTGCAATTCCGAATGCAACCAAAGAGGCATAGCGTAGGACGGGTGGTCTACCACAACCATTGAAGCTATGCGAGTGGCTGAACCGCTCTACGACTTACACCGTTCGGAGAATGCGGATTTAGGACGTTGAATGTTATTGGAGGCACCTACAATTAACATGGCTGAGTCACTTAGACTCGCAGGTTATGCCGTTATGTAATGCTGTGATCCGGAGGGCCGCTCATCTTCTGATTGCTGTTGATAATCTCTACTTGAGTGCACTTTGAAATGGACTCCATGTTCCAGCGATTATAGCCTAGGTTTTCCGGCGTTTACGATCTGGGCCCCTTTGTCGTTAGATATGAGCCCCTGAAGTGATTATAGTTATCAATATGATAACGTCCTTTTTGATTCAGCAAATACCTAACAGCTTAGAACGGCGCGAACACTTCAATACATGCTTGTTGACTAGCTATTATGTTGACCAGCCAAACCCATTCATGACTGCGACACACCTGTGTTCGAAAGACACTTTGGCAGAGAGCAAACTATCGACCAGTCTTTCGGGAGCTTCAGTCCACCTCTTGGAAACCTCCCCGCATGATACAATAAGACGACAAGATTCATTTCATGAGGTTTGAAAGTCTACCCATGAATCAACTCAGACGTCAACAAGTTTCTCCTCAGATTTAGTTGCCACATTTCCTCCTTCACCGAGGACAACCCCTGTTGCTCGACCTGAATTCGCAGCTTCGTGGACCGGTTGAAGGGTTGGCAGAACATGGTTCTCTGGAAGTTGATTCATGGTGTTGTCACATTCATTCCCTCCATTGGAGCTAGGGAGTGTCGTGCCTGGCTTAACTCCGTCCACTTGCATAATCTTGATCCCCTGAGCAGTTTCCTGACCCAGGCTCGCTGTCTTGGCACCCGAATATGGACTTCCGTGAGCTGCTGAGAGTGGCACAGCGGCCATCATATCTCGCATCTTCTTCGCCTTCTTAGCGGCGCCACCGCCGAACATGCCCATACGCGACACAGCGGTGCTCATTCCCATTGAGCCCATTCCAAAGTTCTTGGATCCCATTCCTATGCCGCTGAGCGTCCAGCCCATGGCCGTGATGAACCACGTCGGAAAGCTTTTCAGACCGACCTCCTGCAGTCCCTCGAGGGTGGTAGGCATCGTGTGCTCATAACGACAATTCAATCCCCACTTGCACGTCCCATGGTGGCACCAGTGTCGGCAGTAGGATGTGTGAGAATGTTCAATGTCTTTGTTCTTTTGCTGCAGCGTCATTGTCTTGTTTCCCTCTCGAAGAGTAGGCGAGATGTGAGGAGGTAGCTGGTCACGCCGGTCAATCAGTGAAGAAGCCGGATTGGAGGTTGCATGCCGCGAAGCCTGCAGCATAAGTTCTGTCGGGCTTTGAGGCGGGTGCGGCGATGTGTATGGGTTATTTTGAGTGGCAGGGACTCGCTCATTGTTGTTACTTATCTTCCTCGAATGTGCAACAGGCGTACCTTGTCCAGGAACTCTGGGCTCGAGTCTTTTTTGGACATCTAGGGGAGCATCTCGCTGGTTCTTAGTCTCGTCATTGCTGTCAACTCCGACGCGAGTGCCCTTCGTGTCGTTGACTATGCTGGAATTCTCATTGGCGGCCATCATTCTGAGCACAGTCTCCGTATGGAGGCGAATGTCATACATTCCGTCACTCTTGACTCCGCGGCCAAGGTTGATCATCCCCGAAACTGTTTTGATTTCAAGTTCTCGTGGAACTCCGTCAATGTCGATCCAGTCGGGAAGTTGGTCCACGGCAATCAATGGCACCATTGCTCCAGGCGAGACTACCATACCGGATCGAGTCTGCTGCTTGACATCTGGACGGACAAGAAAATACTGTGGAGTAGGACTCATCATGCTGATAAGGATATGTTTCTCAGTTCTAAATGCTTCGACACCAAGTCCTGGCCTTGTTGTGCGGTAAAGTGAGTAAATGTGGTAAGATGGATCTCATTCATGCCAATGGTCAGGTGCAAAGAGCTGGACTGCGAAAATGGCAATAGATCAAATAAATCTTATCTATATGTGACAATGGACGTTTTAACAGAGAAGATATAGCTATAACCTGCTGTTTTTGAATGCTCGGCAACAAGCTCAAACGCTTACTTGTACGTTATTTGTCTATGAGATTGCCTAACTATGACCATTGTTTGACCATTGACAACATTAGGGAGCCCACAGAGGCATGAGCAAACAGCCTCTATCTCGTTTCAACTCTGATTGTGACATCGAGCCCGTCCACACAGAAACCAAATTGCCTTGGAGAATCTCTCAGTTCCACCTCTCGCTTGACCCATTTGCCAGCTCTCTTGTCGGTTTGGTATCCTGTGTTTGACTGCCCATCACCTTCTCTCTCTTTCTCTACTTCCATCTCTTCATCATCACTGCTGTCGTCTGCCTCGTCGTCAAACCCAGCCACGGGGTCCCATTCTCCCGTTTCCCAGATTAGTCGCAGTTTGAGTGGTGTATAACCAAACAAACGTCCTGCAATACCCTTGACGGCGTAGATGTCATATGATTTGGGAATTTGAGCTCGCTTCTCTACAGCATTTGCGGCATTGCCACCATCATGGTCAGGCCCGTTATGAAAGCGAAATTTGACGTCAATCAACCGCGCTTCTAAGAAGGCCGGATTAATTTCTCGTTGTCGCACAACTACCGGCTCTCCAAATAGCTCGCACAGCTCCGCATAGCGTCGATGCTGAGCAATGACTTTGGCTTCTGCCTCGGGGCTTTGCGGGACCGAGGAGAGCTGACGCCCAATTCGCGATAGGTAGAACATCTCGGCGTTGGTGCGATCGGTAGCCGTGATTGTACTGAAGTTAAGAGATTTAAGAGATGCTAGTCGTGCGACTGTAATCATATAGGCCTCCTCAGTGATAGTAGCCTTCGCTCCCGTTGATGAGGGTACTGTGGAGTCCGACTCAAAGGCTGGATTGTCATATATAGGGTTATGAGCGAAGCGGAGGGAGGCTAAACCAGGGAATGTCAATGGGAGGGCATCAATAAAGGACCAGGTAGATACCTGGTTATAGGACAAGTCTAGATAGTGCAGGTTGTTGCTGAAAACTGGCGGTGGAGCTGTTGCATCAGTAGTTATACTGCTGATATTGTTGCCTTTGAGATGAAGATTTCGTAGAGATTTGATCGCCGTCAGGCTAGCAAGATCCGACAGCGATGTGAAGTCATTGTACTCCAAGTTCAAGGAGGTGAGAGTTGATGTGAGTGACGAACTGGGCATTGCAGGTAAAAAGGAAAGCTGGTTAGTGCTGAGGAGTAGGGTAGTGAGGGCACTGAATTGAGCTGCAATGTGACATATCTCCTCCCATGTGAGGAGTGTCTCGTCCAGGGCAAGCTCCTTGATGCCACGGAAGACAGCCTCAGAGCGTTGCAACTCTTCGTCTTCTAAAACATGTTGAAAACGATTGCCACTGTTACTTGTTAGGAAACCCGTGCCCGCATAACATCAAGAAACTCACTTAGCACGTAAGCTTCGCAACGAGCCTAGCTGTGCGCAAATCTCGACTACCGTTGCGAACTTCAAGAACAGATTGCGACTTAGATCTAGCTCGACTACTTTGGGGCAGATGTCTTTGATGGGCTTCTCCTGACCATTGGCCGCCGTAGCGGTCGACACGCGCATGCCATCCAGGATGACGACTTTCAGCTCATGAAGCTGTGCCTGCTGGCGACGAATCTTGTCAAAGCCGACCTCTTCAGCAACCTTGCCAGAAATAACGATCGCTGGCCCCGAGGAGATGATCTTCTGGTCCTTGGTCACCTCGGAGGAGTACTTCTGGTGAAGAGCCTCCAGAAATGTACGTGGCTTCTCAGCCGGCCGCGATGGCCGAACAAACGATGCTACCGTTTGAGACTTAGATTTGCCTGTTGCAGGTTCAGTAGTAGTCCTATGAGGTGATTGAGCGGGCCATACAGCTGAAATATCGGACGTCCTTGTGAGATCCGTCGTGTTTCCCTCTTGACGGGTCGTCCCATTCTACGCCAAGCCAGACACCGTTTGTCCCTGCGACTTGGCCGACATATCGAACAGTGCAGAGGGCACCGTCATACGAGAGGCGTTGGCCGATTTGGGAGTCGGAGGCCATCTCGTCATATTTGGATGTGGCCGTATCGTTTCATTGTGGAGTGGATTTTGTGAGGTTCAAGTTTGCATGGTGCGGGTAAGATCTTCATGAGCTCAGGCAACCAAAATAAATTAGTGATAAAGAGTGCTGCCACTTTCATGACCAAACACAACGAAACACCACAGGATGTCCCGATCAAATATATTTGAATTCAATAGATTTTGTTCTTAGCACGTTTCATATTTACAGAAGTCAAGCGCTGCTAATAATATTTTACAGCTTGCTCTTGGCTGCGTCGACAACCTTGATCAGCGCCCGACCATTGCTCAAGCAAACCTTGCCGCCCTCAACCTTCGTCTCGAATCTGATCTCTTCAAAGCCATCTTTAATCTCACCAGTCCTCCATACAGAGGTAACCAGCTTATCTCCCGGCTTCACCGGGCTAGCGAAACGTGTTTGGAACTCCTTGATATTCTCTGGCTTGCTCCCTCCGAGATGCTTCAGGATCCCGTGACAAGTTGAGTTGAATGAGTACAGTCCGTGCATGATATCGCCTCCAAAGCCCATCTTCTTTCCAGGTTCGGGCGTAGCGTGCAGCGGGTTGTAGTCACCATTGAGGCGGTATAGCAGCGCTGACTGCCTAGTCGTCTGGTCTTCAAAGACTAGATCGGGTTGCTTTCCCTTCGGAGGAGGGAAGTTGACGGTCGCAGGACCCTTCGGTCCGCCCCAATTACCCTGCGCAACGAAGAATGAGCTCCCGATGGCACGAGAGTAGACCTCTCCAGACTCAACCTCGACCAGGTCCTGCTGGATGTCGAGCACGGAGCCAGGCCTGCCCTTGTCGTACACGCCGAGCACCTTGGTCCGAAGCTCAAACTTCTTGCCCTCTGACGAAGTTGGCAGAGGCTTGAGAAACTGAATCAGGCGCTGGCCATCGACGACGCGGGCATAATCAAACGATGGCACTCCAGGTATTTGGACGGCCTTTTGCGACTTGTAAAAGTCGATGACTTCCTGCGATGCACCCTTGAATGCTAAGCATTATTAGCGACCTGCGCTATTTTATACAGTCCAATTCTTGTCAGACCTACGTAGAATCACAGGATATGTTGGGAAGACAGCAAAGTTGGGGTGTAATTCCTGGGAGATATAAGTCTGCATCCTCCAGCACCCTAGAAAGCCAAGGATGACTTACATAGAGGTATTGCAGCTCATCGGCAGTGCAGCCAATGCTGTTTGCGAAAAGCAGGACATCCCGCTTCAGCCATGTAACCTCCTGGGGAGGATACTGGAAGCCAACGCCGGGGCCGCTCATTATGGAATCGGGGGCTCTTTGAAAATGCTTAGAGATAAGAAACAGCTCTGTGAAGCGGTAGTGATCTTAAGAAATAAGGTGAAAACCATTAATATGGCATGCAATCTCGGTCAAGAGGGATCTCCGCAGCATTTGAAGGTGAGAGGGCGCCTCAAGACGGTCTATTATTGATCTGGCCCGACCGACGCAAGCTCCAAATGCCGAGGCACGATTTTTGGAGGCGGATTACTTGAGGGTTTGTCAGTGCGACAGTGCGCTATCGGCCAGGTGACCGCCATCGCCTAATACGCTGTGCGCCAATGATTGGTTCTTCCGAAGGACCTCGGGAGCTTCCACTTTCAGCTTTGCCGACCTCAACCTCAACTTTCAACTCGATATAGTTATGAACAATTGCGCGAGAGAGAATTGTTCTGGAAGCTGCTGAGAAAACTCAACTTGGATGACTTGTAATTATTTCTCCTGTCAAACACAATGGGTGCCTGGAGACAACAGCAGACGATGGAGGCAAGAGCCCGGGCCGTTGAGCCCTTGTCTGTGGCAGCCCGCAGCACAGCTTCAGTCACTTCTGTAGGAAAATATTACACTTTGCAACTCAAGATGCTTTGTTTACATTTTCTCTGAGATATCACTTTGCAAGATACACACAACCCCAAAAATTTGGTGGTGCGCAGCTTCTTTGGACCGATGCCAAACTCCCCAGGTCTCACCTGCCTGCCTCCTTTCCATCCATTTCCCATCCATGTATCCGACTTATTAGGCCAATTTCTAGTCTCATGGATAAATCACACGCTGGAGAAAACACCTCCGGCAAGCTCAACGCGCAAGACAGTCATGGCTCGATGGTCAAGTTGGCAAAGCCCCTGACCGCCATGGCTCGCGAGGCCCTGGCAAACAAGACGATGAAGCTGATGAGAAAGCGCGCCCGACTGAGGAAGAAGCTGACGAAACTCATCAATGCTGAAATCAAACCCACCGCGGGTCAGAAATCGCCGGCACACGGCAACACCGGTATTCTGACGCGCATGGAGCGGCTGGCAAGACGAGAGAGAAGACACATGCTTTCTCGAATCAAGATGTTGGAAGAGCGGGATAAGTTATACAGATGGGATCCGACAGACGAGAGGGCCCTGGACCTGGATTTAGTGCGATCACTCTTATCCAGTTTTCGGCAGGTCTTGTATTCTGAGCTGAGGGTAGACGAGATTCCTTTCCCATCAGCGTTTAGCACTGAGGAAGGCACGAGTGCTTCCATCTTACCAGCTCCCAACGCCTCCAAGGAGAAGAATAAGGAGAAGCTCGATGTTGTTAGTCAATCACAATCGAAGGAGCTAGACAACGAACGTGAGCAGAGATCGGAGACTACAGATCCTGGCAAAGGCAATCCGCGTCGAGCCATTGATGAGACTGCTGGTTCCGAACAAGAGTCGGACGAAAGCGACCTGCGTTACGATCAACTACGAGTCAAGGAAATGCTATCCGGACTTGCGTACGATGATCTCGTCTATGACGCGGAGCCAACCAAGGGCAAGCGAGTCATCGATCACGGATTATGGATGAGCGGTGCTCTACAGGATGTCCCTGATAGCTCAAACATTTGCCCTTGTAACCACGACAACATGCCGGAGACACCCCATTCACCCTCACGCGTCACCACCCCAGTCAAGTCAGCTATCAAAAAGAATGGAGAGATTAAGCCTAGCATCCTAGGACGAAAGGTGACGTTCCAAGAAAATCCCCTCGGAGGTTCTAGGACAGTCATCAACGACAAACAGCCCTCCTCTCCTACATATCCATACTCCGTAACTCACACAGGCAAGGAACCGGTGACGACGAATTCCGAGGATGCCCGCGCAAAGGTCTCCAAGAAAAAGAAACACCATACGAAACGGAACACCTCGATCGACCAGTCCTCTGGATCTTCTAAGAAGGCCGAGAAGTCCACTCGCCATAAAATTCGCCAGTCGTCACGGCACGAAAAAGTTAATGGGTTGAATACACCAGCGAAGAACGACTTGGTGCAAGTACTTGGCGTCACGCCGGAAGTATCGCACCTTGCTAGCTTCCTTGCTCGGTTGAGCAAATCAGCTCCTGCCAAGCTCCCCGGCGGTGGCTCGAATTTGGACGCACTACGACGGGAGGACAGGATCATCCTTGAGACGGAGCGGCAGATTTGGCTGAGACGGATGGGTTACAATGACTTCGTTGACTGAATGAAGACTATTTGGTCTACAAGAGAAGCCAGTTGAAGGTGCTTCGGCTACGGAGGATTCCTGGGCTGTACCTAGGATCGCGAACGATCCTGCGGAATGTAAAAGTATGGCTTTCTGGAGCTCGGACGGTAAAGATAATGGCTAGAGGCACTGTACAGTAGAAGGTCGCATTTCTGCGATAATATTGAGTCAAGGAAATCAATTGATGCTGTTGTAGCCGCTCACTGGGGCCAAGCAAGCATATGTATGTTACAAAAGAGTGTGGTATCTTCCTTCCCGTTGATCATATCCGCAATAAACTCCAGTATTCAGAACAATTTGCCGTGCTTGTCGCACGTCTCAATATCGCATACCCCTTTCCCGATCACATTCTTCCATAAAGCGGTAGATGCCCTCGAGACCTTCAAAATCCTCGGAGCAATGCTCGCCTGAGCTGACCACTGGCGGCGACATGCTTTCATATCCCTCTTCAAGCTCTGCCGATGGAGATGAGAGCCATGGGTTTTCCTCCATGTAATCATCCAGAAAAACGTCTTCTTCGACCGAAGACAGCTCCGATCGATGTGAGCGTAACGAGCCACCTGGAGAGGTGATTGTTCGATTAACATCCTGGGCATCAGGTGCGTACGGGAAGCGAAGAGCCATATTGATACCGAGACTGTCATCGAAGTTGGGATCCTGTCCTACGATGCCACGCTGAACACCGACATCGTCACACAGTCTCTCCACCGTCTCGGCATCAACCCCAGGGAATCTGACACGAAGAACGTTATGCTTCTGTAGGATGACTGGTAGATCTCCCAATGCCGACAACCGTTTCAGGTCATTCATCACTGCCGCAAGATCCTTGAGCGTACGCGCAAAGTCAACGGACAGAACATCGAGGAAGCCATCGGCGTTCAGGGTGGCTTTGTTGGCCTCGGTCTGGGCTGCGAAGCCGGCGGACGGGAATGGGAAAGCCGCAGCAAGAGGGCTCAGAGCTGTGATCGTTGGTGTGATTTGGAAGTCGATGAAGGCGCCCGGGGCTTGACGTGAGATGTTGGCTAGCTTGCGGCCAGCCTCCTCCTGCAGGTTGCTGACGGCTCTGTATCGCTTCTCGCCGTTGGGCCCGTAGCCATCGAAGTGGGCTCGCTGACCAGACAGACAGAACGCTCGCATCGCCTGCGAGACATTCTGGACGACCTGCGCTGGCGCGGCAGGGGTATGGCTGAAGTATCGGGTACCACCAATGCGTCCGGAGCCCGGCATTCCATATCCTCCTGCTGTACGAGGAAGAGCTCCGCCGGTGAGGTTCGGACGTAAGGTACTAGCGAAGGGAGTACGGCCCGGGAACTGGGTGAATGCTTTGCCAACATTCGTCTTTGCAAAGGCGGCCTTGTCGAAGCCGGCGCCGGCCCTTGTCCCGTTGCTCCCGGTACTGAGGTATCGACGGACGGTAGCGTTGATGTGTGCATATGCGTTGCTGGACGACCATCGTACACCTCGCTTTGACTGACGGAGGAAAGCAGCGGGATGGATAGGCTGACGGCCGGATGCTCGTACAGTGACGTGTTGTAACTCCCCGTTAATGACGGGCTTCGTGGCGCTCGAGAGCTTGGTGCGTATGACCTTGGTCATCTTCGCAGTGCTGCCGACGGCCTTGCGGAGTGCACGCATGGCCGCCGGAGCCAGCATGCCTCCGAGGGAGGCCATGGTTGTTGTGTTCTGCTTGCTTCTCGACCCTGAGAAGGTGAGAAGAAAGAAGCAGACTTGCGAAAGAAGAAGGGGAAAGGAGGATGACAGCCACGGGTCGAGTCGGGCAGCTTTATCGCTGTTGATTCCCGGATATCTACGATAAGATTCGCCACACGGGCTGAGGCGGACCCCGCTTTCCATGGAAGCTGATATCCAATCGTTAAACAGATCCCGGCCTTCAGCCACACTTACGTAACGAGGCGGAACCTCGCAGGGGAACGTCCAGCTCTCCACAGATTTTCTCGAGTGGTTAATATTTTTTTTCCCTTCCCAAGCTCATGCTTCTTTTCTGCTCAACCTCGACGGCATCGACATAAGCAATCCTGCATACTAACTCAGCATATATAGCTGCTATATCAGGTAAGCATCAATCCCTCTCTTTTTATTTCTCCTCAGCCTGCTTTGATGATCATACACGAACAATCCAAATCTTACCAGCACCATGGGGACTACAACATATCTCTAGAATTACCCTGAGCAAATTCTCTCGCAACGATTTCTCTTGAGCTCGGACATCACTGAATCTTTGCTGACCGTCAATCAGATAAAGACACAGCGTGGTTCTGCTGAGGCGACAGCTGTTGCCTCCATAACACCGCGTGTATTGTCCCTCAGGGGACGTGATTTTTCAAAAGGTTTGTGGATTTTCTCTTCAATGCACTTCTACCCTATTCCATGTGATGAAAGAACGACAACAGGGATTCCTCGAACCGAACTATAATGTGGATTCATTGTTTTTGTTTCAGCCTTGTCTGATGTGGCCTGAAAAATCCGTACTTTTCTGCAGCTTGTGTTATGCTCATCTGCTAACCTCGCCGCGCACAGGTACTTCTATTCAAGTTCTTTCTCCGAACCCTTGCTACTGTTTTCGTGGCACTATGACGAAATTTGAACGAACGGGCGGACATAACGAAGCCCTTTTGGCACTCTCTCATCAAAAGCAAGGCTGTACACCTTGTGAGGGAGTCTCAGTTGGGAATCTTGTTGAGAATTCGTCACCTGATTATTGTGTCCTGCATGGAGATTTGACCTGCAGAAGAAATCATGGCAGAACGCTGTTGCTAACTTGATCCTGCCAGGTAAATACTAGTCTTCTTTCCTTCCGGGCGCTTCGGCAGCATTATGATGAACGTTATTCACACTGTTTGATCTTGCCTTCGGGCTTGAAATGAACATTTTACAAAATCTGATTTAATGAGGTATGATGAATCACCTACGAGTCAACGAGGTTTGTGGGCTAACAACTGTCATAGACTGAAAGCTGCTTCAATACGCTCTTATTCACGATTGAAATTTGAACACCAGCTAATTCCTGTACCTCCCTAGGTAATGCTCGAACGTGACACCGTAGAACGAACAAGATATATGATGGTAAGCGATTGCACCTTCTTACCCTCCCTCACCTTTCGGATGATACCCATTTTTGCTGTTCTATCCTGAGTTCATCTTGATGACACAATTCCTATTCACCTTGGAGAACTGATAAGGATCTCTCATTCCAAATATGCATATTTTACTCTTTTGAGATCTGGGCTAACACTGTCTCATCAGTTACATCTTTGCACATGAAAAATGACATCGACTTTCAAAGTAGTAGATAATCAATGTCATGAATATATTTTATTGCAGCATCCTGAGTGTGGCGCCTTTTGATTGTCTCCTGGCTCCTGCCTGTGTCTATACCAAACTTTTCCAATTTTCCGAAGTATACTCTACTTCTTCAACTGTAGCCTGGCATTCCAGCCCACGATGCATCGAATGAGATCCCAGTCGCCGTTGTGACCTACCCAGTCCGTGACCACGATACCCGTGCTAGCATCACCCACAGTCAGCTTGCCCGGCCCCTTTCCGTGCTCGGCGTGCCGCATGCAGAGGTACTCAATCACCGCAGGATTGACCTTGCCGGCGATCTTCTCGGGCCAGCAGCTCGCGTTGAAGAAGTTGCTCGCGCTCAGGAAGTTGACAAAGAACGGCAGGGTCGAACCGGCCGCGGCGGCTTGCTGGGCACCCACGGCGGCGATGTTGAAGAGCTGCTGGCCGGCGCGCTCGAGGTGGGCGCGCGCCAGCTCAATCTTCTTCTCAATATTGGTGCTCTGGTCGACCTCGTAGAAGTCCTGGACGCGGATCAGCTTGCTGCCGCACTCGCCGTCGGCGCAGTTGTCGGGCCACGAGGCGGCGTCGATGCCCCAGCCCTTGCCGCCGTGCTCCCCGCGCAGGCTGTCGTCCGAGTTGAAGCGCCGGACCAGCACGATCTTGCCGCGCGCCTCGCCCAGCTTCGGGATCCGGGGCTCTGTGAACCACCGCCGGGCGTCGTTGCCGCCGCAGTAGCGCTTGTGGAGGTACCGCGACAGGTGCTGGTCGGTGCCCTTCCCTGTGCCCTCGCGCTTGACGGACATGAGCAGCGTCTCGGACGGGTTGCGGTCGAGGAAGCCGTAGATGTCCTTCAGCATGTCGTGGAAATACTTGTTTCCGGTCAAGCTGATTGGGAAGACGGCGTGTACCAGCGCCAGGTCGTCGTTGTCCGTGTTTGCAGAAACTCGAATGTCAAAGAAGCGAACGCCATTATCCAGTTGCTCCTTGACGCCGACAGCTTGACAGCGCACCGAAGGCAGAGCTGTGTGGCAGGTCGGGCTGTTGTGCGTGCCCGGGATAGAAAGGGCGGATAGGGGGTAGTCATTGTGCAGCTCCTTCATCCATGCGGCAAGGTTGGTAGAGCTGAAGATGGACAGGTATGCACCAGTGGGAATGTAGACTGCCGTGAGCTCATGCGGTGCACCGTCAAGCCGCTTCATGACAATGCTGCGCGGCGAGGGTCCCGGTACGTCCACCTGGTACTTGTGTGACTGCCCGGGTGCTTGGAAGGTCAGCCGGAGAATCTCACGGGTCGGGTCCGCCGCCCGGATGTTGGTCGGCTTGGTTTCGAAGGGATTGGCGACAACATCCTTGATGTCCTCCTTGCTGAGAGGCGCATGGTTGTCGCGTGGCTTCACACCGCCCGACGGCGTAGAGTTCTTGCTCAGGAAGCCGGAGATGGTGCTGTTGATCCTCGCCAGACCGCCGGGCTCCGGGACAGACTCGCCCTCAAGGCGCTCCACCGTCTTGAGCTCCAGCGGGTGGATCGTCAAGTTGCGGATGGTCAGCGAAGCCATGTCTGAAAGCAATTGGACGTCACCAAGTCACCTAGATATCTTAGAAGCACCTGAAATGGCAATTCCTACCTGGGATTACCAAACATTCGCACTTTGACCTTACAGCAACATTGGTGAGAGGGGGGTGGGGATGACATCGCTAAATAGCTAGCTAAGCTCCCCTGCGACATCTGACGTATTACGGCGGGCAATGGGCCTGCTAAAACGTCAAGAGCTCAACCTCCAGGGGCCAGCCACGGATCTAGGCGGTCTAACAGCGCCGTCCAAGCCGCCGTGTCTTGGCCTGCAGCGCGGCACGGCCTGGGATAGGCCAATCGGCCACTCAACCCACCCGCTGCGTGGAGTTGTCACCGCACTTTGGAGCATCTTTACAGCAGACAGCTTGGGGCTGAATTCCCTCTTTTTTCAGCGCCGCCCAGTAGGCAATTCAGAGGTTGACCATGCCAGCTGAACAAATGCAACCTTACAAGGCCACAGACGGTCGTAACACGGAGGGAAGAGGTTGTTATCACCTACCAGAGGCCTTAGTTTAGTAGTAATAATTAGTGCACTTCCGAGTTGCAAGTTCAACATCTGTGAACTTTAACTTTCACACCCGCCTTGGGATACCACAGCCCGTTCATTCACAATCAGCACACTGACAAACGAGGCAATGAAAGAAGGGCGGATTCAATTCATTCTGTCCCTAAACTCCAATGGTTTTTCATTATCATGACACAAACTCCCTCATTACTCAGACCCAAATTCCTGCCCGTTTTGATAGCTTTCTTCGTCCCGTACCTTGCCTCCTTGGAAAAGCATGCCGAAATCCGAGCACACAGACTGATAACGATGCTGGGGAAATAAAAATGTCAAGCAAGAAGGCTGTAGCTAGCCCAGCAATATGTGTAAGTAAAGAGAGGCCGCCGTGTTTGTCGTTCCAAGTCCAGCGGCAGTATAGCCCGTCGTCAGGTTGGTCATCACCACCAACCCACATCCATAATTATGCACACCTCCATGAAAAGATGTGGAAATGTGCTTCCGAAAAAGAAGGATAGTCCCCATGAACCATATGTCCCGCTTTCTGTCGTAAAAATCAGACGCTACGCGATCTCTTAGTCCGCGCGGCTTGATCAGCCATATCGGCAGACGAGGCAGGAGCACTGCGTTTCTTGGCGTCGTTCCTCTGGCGGAGCACCTCCAGGAGAATCCTCTCGGGGCCAATCACGTTGCCAGAGCCGTTGACGTCCAAGCCTGCGTCCACCTCAATACGGATCGGTCGAGGGCGGCCGTCCTCGTCGATCATGGGGATACCGCAGTTGGCGGTGCTGGCGTCATTCATGGCGGCGACAACGGCTTTGGCAATGGCGCCAGCGTGGTCAGCCGGGCTGGCGCTCACGCAGACGAGGTTGTGGTTGGAGGCGACGCGGAGTGCGGTCGAGATGCGTATGGCGATGGGCGAGCGGCCCTCGTCGTCGTCCTCCATCTCGTTTGCCTGGTCGAACAGGGCGATCGAAGCGGGCAGAGACTGTTGCGTGATGCTCATGTTGGGGTTGCGGTTGAAGGTTGAGATCAGGCTTGCGTGCAGACGAGGCAAACGGGGAGGAGGTGCGTAGGCTGGCGGTGGAGTAGGAGGTCCTCGCGAGCCCTCCTTAGGAAGCTGCACTGAGGTGTCTGCCGACTGGGATGGCTGCGCCATAAAGCAGGTTCGGTGTGGGATGGCGTGTTGTGCGAGAGAGTCTGAGGCAAACAACAGCAGAGAAGGAGCCTTAGGGTAGCTCTCTTCACCTGAGCGGGAGAGAAAGAAGAGTTTCACGAAGGTCCTATCTCGATAGCAAATAATAAAACGCTCTAGGTCCTTCCTCAAATGAGCAGTGAAGCAAAAGAAGAATGCTTGTTCTCTCAACAATCCCGAAGGGTATATGGCTTCAGAAGATGACAAATCCTGGCGTGGTTGCAGAGTGGGAGATTTTCTGTAGTCGTGTAGAAGGAGAGAAGGAAAGGAAAAGGATGAGGAAGAGGAAGATGACGACTGGAAGGAGAGGTATAGTCGCCTACATGAATGTCTTGCTGGCTGGCTGGCTGGCTGGCTGGCTATTGTGGAATCATGAATAATACTACCATGTCTCAGAAGAATGTGTGAGAGGAAAGTTTAGACACTTCAATTGTGTTGACCAGCAGCCCACATGTGTGAATCTTCCTTATTCATGCAAGTCTTAGTCCAGCCTCCTGATCTTGATGTGCACACTGTATGTAGGTTTATCTCTATTGTAGCCCCAAAGGGGCCAAAGGGGATGGGAATGACCAATTGTAAAGTTCAATGTGGAGTGAAGAGGTGAAACAGAGAATGCAGCCATGCTGGAAAGCTTTTCCATTCTCGATGCATATCTCCGGACATCCTATGGGAAGGTTATTCTTCTCATGCTATTGTTCTTTGACGATGATGATCGTTGGTTCTGATTGATTGAATGAGGCGGGAAGGTCGCTTGCTATTGTTCTGCTTCCTATTGTCGTTGACTGAAAAGTGGGGCTCTCCCGCTCCCCTATTGACCCTATTGAGGCCCCTGTTGGGCTTAGCGCATGGCTTGTGGCGCCTATTGAGCATCCCAAGAAACCAAGCTAGCAACTCCTCGCCATCCAAGGATCCCGAGGTCCTTTCCCTCGGGTTACAGATGTATTCTCTGCACTGTCACCACTCACAATGGTTACATCTTACGACGATAGTCATCCGGCCGTTGCTTGACATTCTGTTGCAAGGGTAGCACAGGGCCAGAACAGCCCGTAGCTCCCACTGTGGCTGCAAGCTCTGGAGCTAGTCGCTCTCAGCTTATGCTGCAAGGTCATAGTGCATGTATGGCTCCGAGGAGAGGGAAAGGAGAGCATCAGGGTGACTGCAGAAAGGCTTCAATGAGAGACAAGAACCGTTTGTGATTCTTTCATTACCTGGTGCAATGTCTATCCTATCACAGATGCCAAGAGCATCGGATAATACCTCATCGTTTGTACAGCCAACACCCGCCGTCGCCCTCTCATCCCGTTTGTTTCCCGCCCATCCACCGAGCCACCCCAACACATTCATTCATCCCGTGTGTCGTGTGTTGGCTTCCCCCCTCCTCCTCCTCCTCCTCCTCCTCCTCCTCCTCCT